TAGGTGCACTTTAAGGTGGCTGAACACAGTTTTTGATACCTGTGTTTCATTCACCTTTTTCTCTAAAACCCGTGATCCCTCGGTCGCCAAAAATGGCAACAAGCAAGTTAACAACACAAACTTTGGGTTTTTGATAGTTAAGCTGACGTATGTGCCGTTGCCATGGAAAAGTGAAAAAATATAAACAGGCCTTTAAAATCGGTTTAGTTCATTTGTGGATAATCTAGTCATTAGATTTTCTTTATAATTTGCATGCAGCAAGCTTGTGACTATGCTCACAAGTTAACACCATTTTGATAATAATTTAAGATAGAGATCTTTAATTATCCCTTGTTGAAGGCTTGCTGGAATATCTAGAATTTCCTTCTCTAAAGTTCAATTTTTTTTCCTAAAGTATTTTGGTGCCAAATTTCATGAATTTCTAATGAGTGGTTCTCGAGAAAAAGGCGTATTTCCGAGAAAGCAATTTTTCTTTTAATCGCACATTTTTGACTTGCTACGCATGCGCTGCATTCAACTGGGTACTTTCGGTAACAACGAAAAAGCTGAGAAGTGCTGGGTTCTTTGCATCGTTACCTTTTCTAACATATCTTTGTAATAAAAAATTAAAACTATCAATTGCGTTCAATTATAAAGAAAAAAAGCACAGATAGTGTGGGTGTTGAGTAAATAAAATAATCGCTCTATTGACGAAAGCTCAAGTAATCTGCGCGCGCTCACAGGAAAACGTCAGTGTTTTTCGAGATTTTATGACGTCAACATGAGCACAAAAAGCAAAACTAATAGTGAATTTTCTTGCGTTTCCTACGGTAAAATTCCGTAAAATTGGGCAGACTGGCAATAAATATTTTACTTTAGTTGGAGCTCGTTTTTCAGCGAAATTTATCTGACCAGTTTTTCTTCAGCGGTTAAAGACATTTTCAGAAATCTAAAAAACTGCCAATACAAACCCTACTTTTTTCGTGTTTAAAATTCGTATCCCACCGTATTCAATGTACCGTAAAAATTTTAGAAAATTTAATCTAAGAAAATTTAAGAAAATCACAAATAAAGCCATAAAAACGGTAAACAACGCATTTGTTTGGGCATTTATAATTCGACATTAAACGCCAAGATTTTAACAGAGATGATAGTAAATCAACATATCATTATTGCTTATTACATTTAATAAGTTTGAAAGGAATGGGTGTGAAAACGAATGCAAAAACAGCATTCTAAACATAACCCTAGCGCGCGCAACGTGATAAATGATTACCCTATGGAGCCACCCTAAGCCGCCGGACTTGAATTCCGGAGGTCGCAGGTTCAAGTCCCTCTCTGACCACTTAGCTGGAGTTCTTTCTCGATAACTCCTCGGTCACGTTTGCAAATAGCCAACTGGTCTGCCTCCAGCCAATTGGGATTTTTAGCCATGTTATTTTCAATTGCATTATTTGTTTCATCATTTGGTCTCCATTGGCCCTGAAACGCCCCATGGGGGGAGTGGTCAATTAAGATATTTATTCATTTATTTTCTAACCGCAAAAAGTTGCTCTAAACGCCAAAAGTTGCCAAGCACAATCGTGACGGGCCTATAAACAGGTGAATTGAAGTTGTAGGGAAAATTGCTGAAAAATAAGTGCAGAGGCATAAAGACCAGGGGAAAGAAAAATTTATTTTTACTCATGATGATAGGAAAAGGTCAATTCTATCCTTGTCTCTGAGTAAGCATTTAGAAAGGAGAAGCATAAAATGTCAAAAGCTATTGAGAAATTCATTGCCCTGATAAGTTTGAAACTCAATCAAATTCTGCCAGAGTTGAGTAAACCAACATGTTGAACTTCTTACTAAAAATCCAAGTTCAGTTTTAACATTTCCTTTGCACGCATTGCCTCAGAGTGGTAAGTGCGGAACTAGGGATGAATCAGGAATTGGGAAAATTGAATTTATAGTGTTTTATACCCGAGGACACTAAAAAATGGCAATTTGTAGGTTATGAAAGCGGAAAAGATTTCAGTTGTTGGTCATTTATCCGGCTGACACAGAAATTCACAAATATATCTGGCACCATCCTTTTTTATTTTAATTCTTAAAAGAAAAATTACGATCACCAAGCAACCGGATACAAACGTGAATTCAAAGTGTCTTTTAATTTACAAATCAGCAACATCATAACAACAGTTTGGTCAAAAAATTTACCGAGCTTTGAAACCCTTAGTTGATGAGGATATGGTGCAATTTCGTTCGCAACAAGCAATGATTGACACTCAAATCAAAAAAGCACCGAAATAACTGTGACTGGCAGACATATAGACTGTGGTGGAGTATGTCGCTTCCAACGAGATGACGTCACCAGCCTTGAGGTTAAACACCCCTCCAGCGTACAGAGCACCTTGGCCGGTTCCTGATTTCAGAGGATGTATCATGGTAACGCGATTGTTGTTTACACGAACAATGACTCTCCCAGTCGAGAGATAGTAAAGTTGTGTGTAGATGTAGTACCGTCCAGAGGTGGGCACAGTCAGTTTTCCGTCGTGGTACTTCATGCCGCCTGCCAGGTGGCTGTGAGGGACACTGACAGACCAGTCCTTTATCACTGAAAGGAAATTAAAAACAAAACACGTTATTCAAAATGAAAATACGTACGCAGACACTGTGTTCTTTTACTTTGCTGTACTTTGATTGGTCAACGAGAGTCTGTTTTTGCAATTAGTTATTAAAAACGTCAAAGTCAATTTCAAAAAGACTAGAAGTAACACCAGAATTTGAGATCCCTGATATCACATTGCGCGAATTAAAATACCTGTGTTGGCTTGATAAGTCACGGTTAAGTACTTATTGACAGCTTCAATGTGAGCAGAAGGTTTGTTTGGATCCTGTGTTAGCATAAAAGATAAAGGAAATGCCAGACTAGCTGTTAATTAAAATCTTTAGACTTAAAGACATCCAGAAACTAAAGTGTCTTGAAATTAAAACTCACAGGCGGAGAGAACGCACATTTGTACTCATGTTTACCTGTAAATGGCATTTACAATTTGTTCCTGATTCTCCTTTCTCGCCCTAAAAGGTAACATGTTTTGAAATCAGGGTCATTTATGCCAGAAATGTTGCTGAGTATGACCTAAGTTTTACGCGGTCTAAGTAGATGGAACTACAGAAGAAAAGCTGACACTGTTACTGTACCTTCAGGCCTTCTTTACCGTACACATTGATGTTGACGGGATTACACGGTGTTGCACACTGTGACTGAAAATAAGTAAGACGCACAAATGAACTTATAATAGGGGGACCAACTGTAAGTAAATATATGAATTACTGCTGAACCATTATCTAGCGTTCAATGTTAAAGGAATCCAACTCAAACTTCGAGGCGACTCATGAACAAATCTTTACTTTTGCTAAACAAGGCCAAACAAGACCCGACGCTGAAGCCGATAGCATCCTGACTGAACAATTTCATGATTTTTCATCGCAGCTCATCGCACAAAGACGACAGTTTTTGAGAATCCTCTATGTCAAGGAATCGAAAAATCAATGTTTTCAAGGAGCGTCCATTGAATTTCTTAAATCGGAAAGCTGCCGTTAGATTTCAAGTGTCTTGGCAGAAAAGATTTCATTCAGCTTTTTCTCGAAGATAAAATTCGCCGATATATACGATCCACCTTCGATGGATATCACAGGATCAGATATAAATTTCACATATACATATACAGTTTGCTGTAAAATTTTGAGGCACAGAATACAGTGGAATCCCAATTTCTCGAACCCTCATTTTTTCGAACCTCCCGTTGACGCGACTGACACAAAAGTCGTTTCCTTCTCCTCAGTCGAACACTGTAATTTTACCCTCAATATCTCGAACTATCCGCTTTCCTTGGAGTTTCGAAAAATCGGGATTCCACTGTAATAACAGATGGCTGTAAAAGATTGAATAGCTTTAAAGTGACGATAAACTCTGAAGCACTTTTTCGAACGTACTATGTAAGAAGTTTTTTTCTTCAATTATCCCATCACGTTATTCTGGTTGATATCAAATCCTCAACTTACCTGACAAGCTCCGGTTTTACTACCCGAGGAAAACTTGGTATAAGCCAAGAGAGCAAAAAGCAAAACGAATTTCATCTCGGCAGCCATGATGTTTGGTCCTTTCTATCGAAGTTGAAATGATGACACTTCGGACAAAAACGCATATAAAATTACTGTTTACTGATTTATTGTCAAAATGAAAGCTGGTAAAAACATGAACTAACTTTTCTTTTTAAAAAAAGCAACAAAGCAAAATATTCATAGCTTTTGTTTCTATCCTTGACGTAAGAATTACAACTTGGAGTATCTTTTTTTTGATACACGTTTCGCAACTTGAATTTCCTTCTCATTAGAGAAAGTTCAGATATATTTCCGTTATCTGTAGTCCACTTATGTCCACATATAAAATAACTTTTAGGAAGCAATAAATCATAACATTTCTTGGAGTTTTTCTCATCGGTTATTATTAATTCAGTGCTATCTGTTTGAGCAATATAAGTCATGAAATTGGTCACGCATCATAAGGTAACTGAAGTAAAACAAAATTCATCAACAGAATGATGACAAGATGAAACAAAGAAGTAAGAAGTAAATGCCTGAAGGCATCTCATAGATAATAGAGATACACATTGTTTTGACATTTTTTTTATTATGATTATGATTATTATTATTTTATAAGACAATCACGAATATTAGTCACTTCTACTGAAAGTGCCGTGTCTGCTGGTTTTACTCATTTCTCGATCGAAGCTGTTGTTAATTAGTTGTTATCCGGTTCGACTGGTTAGCAGGCGCAGAGAAAATACTTAACAATATTGCTGCGTGCCGAAAAACTTTGAAACTCTCTTAACAAAATATATGCACTGAAATCATCGCAAAATAAAACATTTGAACTAATCACTGGTGATTTAAGGTATCAGTGTACCTCAAATTCGATCATTTTTCAAAAAAAAATTGTTTCTCGCTTTTTTAGATAGATCCTATTGCAATCTTTTATTTAAAAACAATTCTATGAAAAAGACTGATTCTAAGCAAAGTTGTTAACGAAAAACGTTTCTTACCATTAATCATCTGTAATTGATAGCTGTCAACACGTTGTCATGAGAAGTAAATTTGCATTAAAAGATCACGTAACAGACGCGGTGTTGTGCGATTTTCAAACGCTTGTTGTTTGTGTTTTAAAATTGGTCGTCGACGTGTTGCTTCGAGTGTTCTGCTTTTGTAGATTATAGGTTTAAAAGCTTATGGTATATCTATTCCATGTCGTCGAATAAAAAACGCAAAAGTCCTTATCCTTTTGCAAGTGCGAAGAAACCTTCAAAGAAGAAAAAGCTTTCGAATTCATTCGATAAGGATCGAGCTGATTTGTTAGCTGCTAGCGACCGAGGTTCCTACTTTGAGTAGGAGAAGTTGATTGCTCTAATCATAAGTTCCTTGGCGCTTTCGCCATTCGAAGTGGTAACTTCTTGATATCTACGCGACCTACGCGTACGTCCCCGTGGGTTTCCTTTCCCTTGTTTACGCGAACGCTTTTTACCTGTCTTCGGCATCTCTCAACCTGTTTCGTTAGATGGAATGTGAATCCACATTAGCTAGGGCATTTAAAAAATGAAAACGAAAAATTGAACGAAAATTATTGGGCGAGCGGCGGAATTCAGACCTTGCAAAGGATATTTCCCGCCAGGAGCAACATTTGAGCCAGCTTCGTAATTGATATGAGCTCTATTGTCAGAGTAAAATTAGCATTCAATTGGTCGATCAACGGGTCATTAATTTTCACACGTTTCGTGTAATTATCTCATCACACCGGAAGAACACAACACAGTATATTTTCCTTCAAAGTGCACATTCTGGGTTCCTTTCCGGCGAGTTTTCAACGTTTTTCGCTGACATTTGGAGAGAAGGTTGCTCGATAATCAGGCAAAACATTGTCGGAAAATTTTTATTTTTTACTTCTTTCAAACGTTAGGACTATTTTAGTCAAGAGAACTCTCTCAAAGTTTAACTTTTCTTTGCCATATATTTGTCGTTAAGTCGTAAGTCCTTCCATTAGCACATGATAAGGTTTAAAGATAGCCGTGTCAGAAACAAACCAGACAAGTAATCAAAATTTCCCGACACCGTTTTTTAAAGAAAGGTGTCAAGAAGACATAGCGA